CGAAGCAGGTCTTGAAGTCCAGGCTCCTGAGAAGCCTGGGGAAGAGAATCTGCCGGGCTAAAGAACCTATCCCCAAAGGTGCCAGCTTCACCAGTCTCATCCTGACAATCTTGGATTATTTTTGTCCTGAAGTTTTGGAGGTGGGGACAGACAGGAGAGTGCCCATTAGCCACCTTTCCGGAGAACATCAGCCCTCCAGACTAGCGCAGGTCAGACCATGCAGGCATTTTTTCCTCACTGGTTGCCAGTCGGGAAAACGGCACGTGTGAGCACCTGCCCATCCTCCCAGGCCCCGTTCAGAAATCCCATCTGAGCCTTTGGAGAGAGACTACCCCAAGCAAGCAGGCCAGCAACTGCACCTACGGCCTTCAGGACCTAATCCCCTTCCATATGGGGTTCACTGCATGTGAGTATATGGTGGGCTCGATTCCTGCCCACTAGCCCCTGCCAGATACCCCGTGCCCACCTCCTTAAGAGAATGAGGCCACACAGACACACCCAGGCCATTATGGCGAGGGGGTGGCTGGAACCCCACTTGCTCACCTTTCATCGCTGGTTCAGGGCCAACTGTCTGACCACATTCCTACCCTGAGATGATACGTTGGGGACATCATCCACCAGGGTCACTAACCACTTACAAAATTCCAGAAACAGAGGCCCAGCTGGTCCCCTGGAAGTTCGGTAAATAGGATAAACCAAGGCTTGCCTTCAGAAACGGGTTTCCTACCAAGTAGCTGTCCAAGGCCCAGGCTAGCCCCAAGTTTGCATGAAGCCTGCCTGCCATGCCCACAGCCCATGCTGACCCCCTCCAGGAGCCACTGGACTGCTTGTTCCTGGGATGTGAGAAGCCCAAGACAGCTGCAGCCTTGCAGGACTGCTATGCCCACCTGGAAGCAGTACCCAGAGGGCCTATAGAAAGAAGTTGGAGGTGAAACCAGATGCTATAAGAATGTTTTATTAGGCCAAACTACTTACTATGAAAATGCTTTAAAATGCAGGAGGAGATATAAAGACTCAAAGAAGTGTGTAGTGACAATGGTTATCAGAACACACTAAAGAATCTACACTGCTTCCCCACTTTACCTAGAAAAGGAAGCTTCTAGGCTACCTCCTCCTCCTC